TTAGTCAATATCCTATTTCTGTGAAGAGCCACGATGACCATGGCAACTCTATAAAGGAAAACATTTAATTGGGGTTTGCTTACAGGTTCAGAGGCTTAGTGTCGAGAAGCATGGAGACATGCAGGAAGACATGGTGTTGGAGAAGTAGCTTGAGAATTACTCATCTGGATCTGCTGGCAGCAGGAAGAGAGAAAAGCCCTTGGGCCTGGCTTGGGCCCTTGGAACCTCAAACGCCCCCACAGTGACACATACATCTTCCTACAGCGCCACATCTATCCAACAAAGTCAACTGTCCTAATTCTTTCAAGTAGTGCCACTCCCTATTAGCCTACGGGAGCCATTTTCATTCAGACCACCACAGAGGGTGAGCCCACTCTGGGCGATTTGATGGCTATTATTGGTTGTCAGCTTGACTACATCTGGAATGAGCAAATGAGGTGTCCAGAAATGAGGGCACACCTATGAGAGATCTTTTTGCTCGGTTTGAATCCACTTCTAGTCTGGACCTCTGAGGTAGGAAGACAAACATTTTTGGTTTGGATCTTGAAGCAGGATCTTGACGATCTTAAATCTGGGCCATACCTTCTGCTGGAAGTTTGTATAAAAACATAGAGGAAGGACACTTTTGTTCTTTGCCTGCTTGTCCTTGCCTTGGTAGCATATTCATTTCTTCACTGGCTTTGGGTCCCACCTTGTGGAATTACAGCATATACTGAAGACCAGCCAAAACATTCAGCCTCTGGAACTGAGTAACTCCTAAATTCTTGAGCTTTCTATTCACAGCCAGCCAATGTTGAATTAGCCTGATTGCAGCCTGTAGGTCATTCCAATAAATTACCCTCTCTCTCTGCCCCCCCCCATATATACAAATACAAATATCAATTATCACTGAAGATAGTCACTCACAGACAGTGACACAGACCATTCCCATCTGAGAGTTCCCTCCTCTGAGGTAACCCTAGGTTGTATCAAGTTGACAGCAGAAACTAACACAGGAGTCAAAAGGGATTCTTCTACTTGGAGTATTCTGGCACAGTTCCCTGGAAATAGATGCTGGTTCTTTCAGATTCCTCATGACAGTGGGTTGAAGAAACACAAGCTATGCTGACACTGACGGCTCTGCTGTGGTGCTGTGATGACTGTGGTGGCTGTAATGATGGTGATGGCTGTGATGACTGTGGCGGCTGTTATGGATACAATGGCTAGAATGGCTGTGATGACTATAATGGTTATGATGATTGTGATGGCTGTGATGACTGTGATCATGGTGATGGTTATGATAGCTATGATGACTGTGATGGCTGTG